GGGGGGGGGGGGGGGCGAGCAGAATTTTAGTAAAGGGATGCTTTAAGGGAAAAAAAAATAAGGCATAAGTAGGCTTACTTTCTAATATAAACTATGAAAATCTACTTTTATTAAACTAGAAATACAAGTACCCAAATAGTATCTTATTTAAACTAATTGGCATTGCTAGTAGAATTTGATATGGATATTATCAAGTTCTTGATAGCTTTATATTTGATGTCAACAAGTTAGATAAGTTACAGTACTTTAGTGCCCTGTGCTAATTAATTAGAAGTAAAGTGAACTAGGAACTTCCTGAACAGTAGGTAAAAGGATCTAGAAGCAGGGAGATCAGCTAGAAAATAGTCTCATACAACATGAAGGACTATGTTCAGGTACCTGCAGCTGAACTTGAAAAACCTTATGAATTTACTTCAGCAAGGGAATCAACCACATTTCTGTACTTGAGTAGGTCCAATGATTTTATTTTATTTTGTTCTTGTGTCTGTAAGTATGATATTCTTTTATTTAAAGTAGTCTATAGGGTAATTTCTTTTGTGATGATTATTGTTAATCATTTTAACCTTCTATTGTCTTCAGTATGTTATTATTTCATAGAAACCTGAGTAAATTGAAAAACTTTAACCTAATTTTATGGGTCTTCTCTATAATGGGTAGCTTTTCATTTATGGTAAGTGGTCAAGAAAGTGTTTATGTTTTGCTTTGGGCCTTGCTGAGAAACTCACTGTGATCATTATTTTCCTGTGTGAGAATGCATTCCTCATCTGTTAGGCGCACGCATTCCTGCAATCATATCCATTGGTCGTGATTTGTAGAAAGCTAGAATGTTTAAAGTAATTTAGAAATTGTCTGGTACTTGAATTTAGTGTGGCAGTAACCCTTTGAAGTCATCAGATCTGGGTTGCAGTCGCAGCTCCTCAGATCCTTACTGGACGAATTGGCTTCTTTGAGCCTCTGTTTCCTCTTCTGTCAAACAAAGATGATAATAACCACCTCAGAGAGTTGCTATAAGAGTAAACAAATAATGTTGTAAAGTCTTTAGATAGTGCTGCACACACCATGTTCTGAAAATGACAGTTACCCTATTGATACTGATACTGTTGCTGAAAACTTGTTGTGAACCATGTATGAAGTTTATTGCAATTTTCTAACTGATGAGTTTACAGCAAAGGTTTTCACACTGTTGGGAATACTATCTTAAGGGCTCTAAATCTGCTGCTTACCCCGATTGTAATACTACTTTTACTGCATTACTGATACTAGCTGCCATTTTATTGAATGCTTACTTAATAAGAAGATTATATATTGTACAATTTTGTTGAATTTTTTAGAATAATTATGATGAAGGCATTATTACACCTCTTTTCCCGATGAAGAAACACAGGTGTAGTAAGACAAAGTAAACTGCCCCCCAGTTGGACAGTGAGAGACCTTGGATTCACTCTGATCTGACTCCGAAGTCCTTGCTCTTTAACCTTGCTGCTGTCCGATGTTTTGCCGTCTGCTTGTCTATCCCCAGTAGACCTAAACTTCCTTAAAGTGGGAACTGGGTATTGTTTGCATTTGTGCACATTTGTTTTTCAAGCTCCTTTGAACTAAAAGCGATGTATAATATTGGAAAATGTCAATGTAAGTGAAACTTATAGTTTGAAAATGTTCTCTTATTTAAATTAATAAAATTTACTATTCTAACTGGAAACTTGAAGCATTAGGATTTATTTTTCAGCCTCATTGTGTCTCTTCATCATGCTAGCAGTTTGAATTCACTGTATTTGGCCTCGGATTAGTAGTGTTAGCAAAGTATTCACCTTAATCTTATCAGGTTATAAGCCTCTTTCATTATAGTAGTAGCTAGTAGTACCTAGCTCCGTGTCTGTATGACAGCTACTCAGTACATATTTGATTTTAATTTATTTCACTGTCAGTATTAATATTTATTTGAAGTGTTTTTATATTAGGTATAGTAGATACAGAAATATGACTTTTGCTAACTTGGCCACCATGACCTTTCTTTTTCCTTCTTTAGTAATCAACCCTGTTTTTTGGACTCTAAACGAATTAAAGCATTTTGGTGTTATTTAATCTGAAAAATTAACTCTTTGAAATATTTGGATTCTTTGGAATTTTTTCTTTTATTAGAAAACACTCTGAACAATGGATACCATTTTGTATTGTCAGTAATTAGTGCCTAAATATATACTGCTGAATTATTCAGTTTTTCATTAGTTTATAAACTCACAAGGGCAGGGATCTTGTCTGTTTTATACTTTCTTGTTTCGTTGAATCTAGCATGGTATTAGGCACATAGTAGGTGCACATTAAATATCTGGATGTTGATTGATTTGACCACTAATATCTATGGGTTGGAAAGGGCCTGGGGTTTTGTTTTAGATACCAGATTCTCATCCACCTGTTAGTGTTGAGTAAGTTACTTGATTAGTTCTGCTGTAGTTCCTGCTTCTGTAAAGTGATCATTATAATAAAAGCTCACTAGGTTGCTGGAAATTTTAAATAATATATACACAATGTTTTATGTTTGCTAAGGATGCTGTGTAACTCTTAACTGTCTTGTTTTTATCACTACTTTAATTGCCCCACTCTACTGCAAATCTGGATGCGGTTTTATTTGTTTTGGCCTGTGCTGGACCCTCAGTTGACATTTGGTACATGAGTGCATGAATGAATGATACAAATTTCTTAAGGAAAGTGAGATCTGGAGAAGTTGTCTTTTGCATAATATTAATCCATAAGATGGAAGTAGAGATCTGCGTAGAACTGAATTCTATTAACTTCTTCAAGTGTTAACTCATACATCGTTTTGTTTTTTTAAATACATACAAATATACATTTATGCACCCCAGGTTATAAATCATGAGACTAATTTTATAATGGCTTAAGACTAGTATTTCTATTAAGTTATTGGTTTGCAGGAAGAGAAAGCTGATCCCTCCCACTGATACAGTTGTTTCTGGATAGCTGATGTTCCCTATCAAGGCCATGTATTCATTTAAATGAAAGAATTAGAATGAACCCAGGCCTTCGGGATCAAAATACATTGCTCTTTCCAAGACCAATAACTGAAAATACATAGAACAGCCTTTGAGCATTTTTTGAAATTCCTGGATTTTCTCTGAGGTTGTTTTCCCCCTCTACTATAGTTACTTATATGATGTAGATATACTAGCTACACTGAGAGTAAACTGCCATTTTAAGACTTATTGTGATTACTTTTTGGTTCTTATTTTGAGTTCTGTCTGACTCATACATAGAAGAGATTTTTCCAAAATATATTTATCCTGGAGTGGATTCAAGTCCTTATGACCTTAAGCAAGTTTCTTAATCTTTTTGAACTTCAGTTTCTTAATCTGTAAAATAGGTAACAATACTTACCTTGCAGGGTCAAAGAGAGAATCAGAGGTTAATGTGGTAAATTGTCTGGTATGTAGCAGACAGTTAAGGTGCCATATGTCATGCAAGTTCTAGGAATTTGAGCTATCAAAATGTCATGGACCCCATTAAGGTACTTATTCTGCATGTAGGCTTTTAGTTTGCTTTTTTGTTTTGTTTTTTAATATAGATACAATCACTGCTAAGAACATCCTCTTCCATATAGCATTTTGGCCTCCTTGTTTTAATATCATTAGCTAAAATTTCTAAGGGTGGGATTTTTGGACCAAAAGATAGGAACATTTTATGACCCTTCATGTGTATTGCTAAATTGCATTCCAGAATAGTCTAAAAATTTATACAGACATTTGTGTGTAGAGCATATAATTTGTAAGGCTGCTGTTATCATTACTGGCCTTATTACTTAAGTGCTGGTATTATTACTTAAACAAAAGGGTCCTTTTAAGTTCTTTTAATTATTTTATTAAGTAGGTATATTATATGTTTATATGATAGTTTTTTCTTCATGTTCTTTTCCATCTATTTATTGGTCTTGTTTCTATTAAGGACTTATAAATTAGACGCATATATCCTTTGCCATATTGTTGCAGATACTCTAATCTTTGTTTTCATTTTCATTTTAGTTTTAAGATTATCAATTTAATTTTTTCTGTGACATGTTTTCACAGACTCGAACATGTTTATTTAAAAATTAAGCTACTTTGGAATATATTAATTTTGGGAAGTATACAGAGTGGTTAGTAATACAGAAAGGTTGTAAATTTAAAAGGATGTTATAAGATATTAAGACATTTGTGCATGTTTAAAAGTATCAGTCAGCTGTTGGAAGCATCAGTGTAATAATATTGCCAGAGATGGGCTGTGAATACCCTCTCTGTGCAGGAGCCACAGGAAGAGGCTGGGAAACTAATTAGGAAGCTGTGGGAAAAATATAGATAAGATGTTAAGTCTGAACTAGGTTAGTAAAAGTGGACAGGAAAGAGCAGCAAGGAAAGCATTAAGTAGAAATAATACATACAAATGCATTCATTCAACAAATATTTGGATGTCTGCTGTATGCCAGGTGTAATTCCATTTGATCGAGATTCATTGGTGAGTAAAACAGTGATCTCTGCCCCTCTGGTGAGGGGAGATGGGGGGAGCAGTAGGCGATGTGATCAGAAAGGAGGTAAAGGAGTGTACGGACTATGTGTTTGCTTTATAGGACAAATTTGATAGGATTTGTATCTGTGTATTAACATGCTAATTATTAGAAGCTGCATGTCTTTGGGGTGGGGAGAAGAAATTTAACTTTCTCATTTCTTAATCACTTATTGAATTTGCATGCCTTTTTCTTTTGTGGCAGTTTGACCTTTTTCTCCTTATTTTGAATAGCTTATTAATATTTACAAACTTTAATTACTGTCAGTTTATAATATTAATAATCTCTGTACTTTTTTTTAAACAGGAGTATGTTGCTGCTGTTCTGCTTTGCGTCCTCGCTACAAACGCCTGGTGGACAACATATTCCCTGAAGATCCAAAAGTAATTTGATCTACATCTACTGATCCTTCTCTTTGCTGACCCATTCTGCCCCCCTGCTGACCTCCCTAAGGTTTCCCTAATTTCATTTCTCTACTTTTACCCTTACATCTTATCATGTATACTACTATTTTTATACTTTTTTTTTGTAACTTTTAAATGACCCATGTTTGCTTGTCTAGTTTTCAGATCCTTTTTATAGATTAGGCACAAATCTGGAGTGATGGACAGAGATGTTCTTCAATACTATATAATTTTATTACTTTATAGTGCCTGTACTATATATTTTTGTTACTATATGGTGCCTGATTTAAGTAACATTCGTCAAAAAATTATGAACCAGTGCCAGGTTATTTACACTAAGTGCTCAGGATACAACTGTGCACACATACATGGTTTTCTGCTTTCACCAAGCTCATAGATAAGTACATTGGTAATTGCAATATTGTGTGGAAAAAAATGTTGTGATAGAGAAATGAAGTACAGGATGTCACTGGAATACATAGGACTGATACCTAATTTAGGCTTCAGAGAAGAAAGGTCTGGAGGAAAGGAAACCTAAGCTAAGATCCAAAGAATAAATAGGGGTTGGCCACACAGTATTTATAAGAAAATTGAGAGTTCCAGGAAGAGTTTGTTATCTTTTTACTTAAATACTGTTTATTTTTTTATAAAAATTACCTTATTTGGGAAGAATATGGTTTCAGAGCAACTGGGTTTGAGTGCTTTTGTTTGACATTGCCTTAAACATTCAAAGATTCCTTTAGTTTCATGTTAAATGGATATGAACAAGAAAATGTTACATGGGTTTGATTTACAGAATTTACATTATTTTAAAATTTAGCCAACTATAGAAACCTTTTGCTTATCTTAACATTAATGTCGATAAATCTCATTTTCAGTCAAATCTGTTTAAACATTCAGCTATATAGAGGAAGTTAATTAAATATTATTGGCTGCCAGATATCCTGGATAATTTGTGGCATATTAAAAAACCCTAATATATTATACTGGCTTTCAAGGAGCTTTCCATCAATTGACTGACATAAAGCAAAAGTATACTAGATATTAAACCATAATGCATAAATTAGAAGTATAATGCTAATCAAATCAGGTGGTAAAGTTTTTGCCTCTAAAGCAGGGATGTATCACTATGAGTTGGCAGTCTCTGGGAAGTATTCTCAGAGGAAATGAGATTTGCTGAGCTGTGAAGAATGTACACCATCTGAAGAGAGAAGGAAGATTAGTCTCGTCATTGCAAGTGAGGGGAAAGAGAAAAGGCACGGGAAAGCAAAAGATACATTTGAGGTCAAGATTAAGTTGATCCATTAGGCTTCAAACAAAGGTTCAGATAACCTAATTGTGGAGAATAGTGGGGTTAATAGTGTTGACCATGATTTCTGACTTGAAATTTCAGATATATCAGTTATTAGAATGAATATCCAAATTATTATTTTCTTGAGGATTCTGGGATGTATGGTTACTGAAGGTAAGGTGGAGGCCAGATTATGGAGGACCGTGAAGACAGGCAAGGCTTTACTACTTTACCTGCTTTAACTTGTAGGCAGTGAGGGAGCTTTGAACACTTGATTATGGGAGTGACAACAGGTAAATTAGAGAATGGTTACAGAAAGCATCTTTATTTTTGCCAAAGATTTAGATAAGATTTATTTAAATAGCTGTCTTTATTTTTAAAAGATTTTTAGGGCCGAACCTGTGGCTCACTCGGGAGAGTGCGGCGCTGGGAGCGCTGTGGCTGCAGGTTCAGATCCTATATAGGGGTGGTGGGTGCACTCACTGGCTGCCCGCTGTGCAGGCGACACCAAGCCAAGGGTTCTGATCCCCTTACCAGTCACAAACAAAAAAAAAAAAAAAGATTTTTAAAAACGAAGATTTACAAATCATTTTGTATAATTACTAGCCACGTGATCTTGGGCATGTCTCTCAGTTTCTCAGCATGTAATGGAAGTACTAAATAGTACCTGTCTCATAAGGTTCTTATGAGGATTAAATGAGTTAAGACAATTCTTTGCTCACTGTTACTTCCTTAGTGTCTATCACAGTACTTGGCACATAGTTGGTACTAGATTAGTATTTGTTTAATGAGGGAAACAACAGTATGATAAAACATAATAGTAGATATGAGTGCTGTGAACTAAAAGAACATATAGTAGGAACTTCTCGTGCAGTCTTTGGAGGGGGGGTTGGGAGAGTGCAGCGAGGGTTCTTTAGAGGAAGCCTATACTGGAATGATGAGTAAGAGTTTTCCAGGTGAAGTAGAGAAGTGTTGCTAGGCAAAGAGGTGAGCTGAGGGAAGGAAGTCACAAACAAAAGCGTCGCAACCTGTATGATTCTACTTTTGTAAGATGCATGCTGATTCATAGTGATAGAAAGCAGAGCAGTGGTTCCTGGAAAGGGAAGGATGATTGCGAAGGACATGAGGAATCTTTCGCAAGTGATGAAAATGTTCTGCACCTTGTTTATAATGGTGGTTTCACAGGTGTATACAACTGTCACATTTCAAATTATGTACTCTAAGTAGATGCCGTTTATTGTATGTAAATTGTTCCTCAGCAAAATTAGTAAGGGATTTTTTAAAAAGTAGATGAGACACTGTCCTATTTAGATGATGATATGGAAGAACTGATACAGGGAGAGGGGTCAAAGAACAAGGAATGAGAGGCTTACTAAGGGAGCCAGATCTGAGACTGTGAGGAGGACAGCTAGAACACTGGCAAAACAATTCCTCCTAGACAGGAAAAATAGGGCTCTTCCACTTTGCCTAGGGTAGGGTTTCTCAACTTAGGTTCTATTGACATTTTGGTTTGGATAATACTTTGCTGTGGAGGCTATCCTGTGCATTGTGGGATGTTTAGCAACATCTCTGGCCTCTATAAACCAAATCCCAATATTCCCTTTCCTTCAGCTATGACAACCCAAAATGTCTCTAGACATTGCCCTGGGAGGCTAAGTCACACCACTGGTTGAGATTTACTGGCCTAGAGGGCATTTAGAAAGCAGGGGTGTTTTTGCTGATAAATTCTAATCTGATGGCTCCCACCTTTGAGAGAGAGAAGAGCTCATTTGCTGTCAGTGAGGAAAGAGAAGTGGTGAAGCAACATGTTGAGGAAAATGGAGTAGGTGCAAAATAAGAGGGATGACTCTCCTGGGGAAACAGCAGAATAGCCAGAGAACGTTGAGGGTCCTGTTGAATTTGAAAATACAAATTTACAAAGTTTTCACTTGTAGATTTACCATCTGACATAGTTTGTCTGTCTACCTTTCCACTTCTTTCAACATTCCTAAGCAGCATTTACTTACTCGGACTACATATGACTGGGAAATATAGGGTGATGATTGACTCATGGTTGTATTTGGGTAGGAGAAGCTTTACCCCTCTTGCGCATCATCTTTTAGAGGGTGGAGACAAATGACAGTTTTATGGTCCCATATCAGGGACCTGTTGTTGCTTTCTTAATACGTTGACTAAGCATAGATTCATACAGTTCTGAATACTTTCTCATTCAGTAACTACAATGGAACTTTATAGTAATATCAGCAAGTTCTGAATCATTAAAAAGCAATATGTTCACTGTTGTATATGTAAAGGAGTAAAACAAGCTTTTAAAAAGTTTAAATTGAAACAAATTTTGTTTGAAATATTTTCACTAAAATCTCATTTCCTACATACTGCAGATTATTGAGCTATTTATCAAGGAAGGTATTAGAATCTAAGTCATTGCTTGGGAAGGTACATTTAAATGCTTTGCCTAAATGGGGTATTTCTTTAACCTTTTTAAAGTTCTTTGAATCCAGAATGGTGAATAATTAGCACTATAGAGGTTATATCCAGAAAGGTTCAGCATAAATAGGGGTGAATTCTCAATCCAAAAAGGGAAAATATGTAGCAGGCAATACTTAAAAATACAAAAAATAATCATGAAAGTATCAATAACCTATTTCTCTTGTTGTTGTTATTATTTTTAGGATGGCCTTGTTAAAGCCGATATGGAGAAATTGACATTTTATGCAGTATCTGCTCCAGAGAAACTGGATCGAATTGGTTCTTATCTGGCAGAAAGGTTGAGCAGGGATGTTGTCAGACATCGTTCTGGGTAAGGGAATGAATTGCTGTTAATATAGTATCTTTAGAATGTTCTTCCTAGGCTAAATTATCCAATAATTTGCTTTGTCTTTTAGTCAGGTGAATAATATATGGAGGATAAAACATTGTGATTATTATACAAAGAAATGTGTAATACCCATGTAGATTGCTGCAGCACTTACTGCTTTCCTGGTGGTCAGGTTTTATGAATAGACTCCTGTTAGTTAACAGAGTTACCGTTAGCTTAATCCATTAATTTTTGAGCCTTCTCTAATGGGAAATAGTAGAAATTGACTCCCTTAGTCTCCAGTGTGATACTATAATTTAAAATTCTATCTCTGAATTGAAAACAAACAGAAAGATCCCGTTAACCAACTGACTTTTCACATCGCTTCTGCTTTACATCTCAGAGGAGTAATAAGAGAGAATCACGTTCTGCTTAGTTATCAAGGTTCAGGAGCTGTAAGCATGATGATTTGGAACTGTGCTATAGAGAAAGGTCTATCATCTTAACCCTTTCTCTGTGCTCGAGCAGTAATAACTTCACAGTTTGGAGTATAGGTACTGACCCATATTGTCAGTACCATATTTTATAATCGTAGTTTAGAGAATTCCATTCTCCAAGTGATACATTGGCTTTCTGTGCCTCCACATTGTTACCACTTAGAACATTTCAGTGAATTGTGGCACAGATAGTTTTATAGTTGATTATCGAAGGAAAGTTATCTGAAGATTGAGTTTTAATATTTAGTACATGATTTAAAATGTGATGAATTGTAAATAAAAGTTATGAGACATTATCTTATAATATTTCATTGTCACCAATACTGTTTTATTTACTCATATAAGTACATTATGTTGGAGATTTAGGCACATTGCTTTAATAACTATTTTGGACCAGATAGAAATAAATATGGTTAAAAGTCTGGAAAGTAGAAAAAGTTTATGTTTACAAAGAAAAATACAAAAGTAGTGTTAAAGAAGCTCTGAAATAATTGTTTTAAGAAGGAGAAAATGGAGTAGTGTAGTATAGTTTTTGTGTCATTCAATGTGAGTACTATTTTATATCTAAGATTATTAGTGCTGTGTGAGAATTATGATTTTACTTAGAAACTACTAAATTTGCCTTTCTATATTTTGTGCATCTGAATAAACTTATATTAATTATTCCAATCAAAAATACTTAGAAGTAAGAGAGGTGGCAATGCTTTGACATTCTTTTTCTCTTATACTTAGGTATGTTTTAATTGCTATGGAGGCATTGGACCAACTTCTTATGGCTTGCCATTCTCAAAGCATCAAGCCATTTGTAGAAAGCTTTCTTCATATGGTGGCAAAGCTTCTAGAATCAGGGGAACCAAAGCTTCAAGTTCTTGGAACAAATTCTGTGAGTAAAACTATTGTCTTAATAATTTTAATTAGCATATCTAGAATTAGTCTGTTCTTAGAATGTCCTACCTGGTAAATGCAAGATTTTTGGTCAGGGCATTTTGACAACCAGTACAGATGAAGGTGATTAGGACACTTTGTCTTTAGCTTTTTCTGTTTCTTCTTTTGAAATTTATGATATTAACTAATTGTAGTGGAATACCTGCATATAAATGAATTTATACCTGTCATATCCATTTTCTCCAGGTCACCTTTTACAACACTAACTTTGCATCCTGCTCTTCCTTTGAGTTTCATGCTTTGTTAAAAATAGCTTTATTGAGATGTAATTCACATACCATAAAGTTCACCTTTTCAAAGTATACAATTCATTAAGTTTTAGTATATTCACAGAGTTGCATATTCCCACCTCCCCCTGCCCTGGGAAACCACTAATCTACTTTCTGTCTCTATGGATTTGCCTATTCTGGATATTTGAAATAAATGGAATCATCCATTATATAACCTTTTGTGTCTGATTTCTTTCACTGATCATAATATTTTTAAGGGTCATTCATGTTGTAATATGTATCAGTACTCCATTCCTTTTTATGACTGAGTAATATTCTATTGTATGGACATACTACATTTTTATTTATCCATTCATCAGTTTATGGACATTAAGGTTGTTTCAACTTTTTTGGCTAATGTGAATAATGCTGCTTATGAACATTGGTGTACAGGTTTTGGTGTGAACATGTTTTTCATTCTCTTGTATATATACGTAGCAGTGTAAGAGTCATACGGTAACTATATTTAACTGTTTTCCAAAGTGGCTGCATCATTTTATATTCTCATCAGCAATGCATGACTGTTCCAATTTCTTCATGTTCTCATCAATACTTGTTATTGTCTGTCTTTTTTATTATAATCACCCTAGAGACTCTGAAGTGGTATCTCATTGTTTTGATTTTCATTTCCCTAATGACTAATGATGTTAAAGCTTCTTTGCCTGTGCTCATTGGCTATTTGTATATCTTCTTTGGAGAAATGTCTATTCAAATCCTTTGCTCATTTTTTAATTGGACTGTCTTTTTATTGAGTTATACAAGTTCTTTATATATTCTTGATATAAGTCCTTTATCAGATATATGATTTACAAATGTTTTCTCCAATTTTGTAATGTTCCTTTTTTCTTTGAGTCCCCAAAGTTTCAAATTTTGATGAAGTTTAATATATTTTTTCTTTGGTCTCTTTTTTCTTTTGTGCTTTTAATCTCATATCTAAGAAACCATTGCCTAATGCAAGGTCACAAAGTTTTATTCCTATAGTTTCTTCTAAGAGTTATATAGTTTAGGTCTGTGATCCATTTTGAGTTAATTTTTGTATGTGATATGAGTTAGGGGTTAACATTTAGCATGCGGATATTCAGCTGTCCATTACTATTTGCTTAAATGTCTACTCTTTCCCCATTGAATGGTCTTGGAACCCTTTTAAAAATCAGTCAACTGTAAAAGTAAGGGTTTACATCTTCATTTCTTCTTGGACTACTTCTGTTCATTTTCTTCTATCCTGAACTATAGTATGTTAAACGTGGGGTTGGGGAAGGCATTCGTTCCTGAAAAGGAAAATAAATACAGTGGTAATGTTTCTTCTCTTGTCTTTAGTTTCATTGTACAATCTTCAGTCTTTCAGTTTCAACTCCATCTCTGAGGAAGCTTTAAGTCATTCAACCTACATGAATACTATATGTTCCCATATAGATTTTTATCAATAATTAACAGAATAATATATCACTTGCTATTGTTTATGGATAATTGTTTTCTGTTATAAGAGAAGGAAGTATAGGTGGTACTGACAAGGATTCGAGAGTCCAACTGCCCTAGGTTCATTTCTGCACCGCTTCCTAGCTGTGGATCTTGGTCAAGCAAGTTATTTAACCTCTCCTTGCCTCAGTTTTTTATCTGTGAAATAAGGAGAATAATAGTACCAATCTTAAAGGATTGTTGTGTGACATGAGATGATATATATGAAGCTCTAGCACAGTACATGGCACTGTTAGCCATTATTGGTAGTAGTAGACTGTTAAGCAAGAATGTATAAATACAATCCTCATTAAAAAGCCCTTGGTATGATTTTGCCCATGTATTTCAGAGGGAAAATACTGGATATTTCCAATTGTAATTAGGTGCTCAGTTTCAGGCAAAGTAGCTATTATGCTTCTACAATTTCTTCTACAGTCAGATGAGGAAAATTTAGGGAACATGATTTATTAGCTGGGGTGGGGCGGGTGGAGGAGTTTTAGTGTATCTTCCCATAAATTTCTTTACTCACCTCCAGCTCTGCCATTAGGATTACTTGAATGACTCATTTGGGCAACAGACCAAATTCTCTTCTTATCTACTTTGATTTGAATGAATTGTAGTAAATGAAGTACCATATTATCTTGATCAACATTCTTTATCTAATTTTCCCTGGAAGTCTGATTTTATTTTCTTAGTGGTACTGAATGCCTTATATTAGCAAACATGACCAATACTGATTTAATATTTTTATATTTTATCTTTGTACGTTTTATTTTAATTTGTTGACATTTGCCTCTTTATGTTGATGCCACCCCAGTATGACAATAATATATATAATTTATTAAGGTTCTCCTTAGTTTCAGGAATTGTGCTAGATACTTTTTTTTTATCCCTTTTTAATTGTTAAGTATTTCAAATACCAAAAAGTATAAAGCATAATATAACATACCTGTATACACACTGATTCAGGAAGAAAAAAATTAAGTAATATCAATAAATTATATACAATTTTTGCTAGAAATAATAATACCAAATGGTAATAAATTTTTTTAAAAAAAATTATGATTATACAATGTAAACATTTTTGTTCCGCTTTCCCAATTTCTCTCTAACTCCCTTCCCTCTTCCCCCTTCCCAACTCTGGTGTCCTCAGTTCTGTTCTCTCCTTTGAGAATTCAAGGAATTATTGTAATTGTTGTGTCTTTCTTTTTTCTTCTTCTTCTTTTTTTTTTCCCCCCAGCTCCCAGTTATGAGTAAGGACATGTGGTATTCCTCTTTCTGTGCCTGGCTTATTTCACTTAACATAATTTGCTCTAAGTTCATCCATGTTCCTGGGATGGGCAGAATTTCATTCCTTTTTATGGCAATGTAGTATTCCATTGTGTGTGTGTGTGTGTGTGTGTGTGTGTGTGTGTGTGTATATATATATATATATATATATATA